AAAGCCCCTGATGATCTTTCCATCCATGCAGAGAAAATGACTGTAATACCTCTGAGTCTGGAGAAGAAGATTTTTGAAATATTGGTTAATTTTCCCTTTTGGGCCCCGCCCTGGCCCCTAGGGTTGGGGTAGGAATCCCAATTTTACAATTTAAAACCATCTTCCTCCTCCAAGGATGATTCTGACCAAGTAAGAATAATTTCCAACAGAAAATTGTCAAAATATACCCAAAAGTGTTGTTTCCCTATATAAACTATAGTAAACTTTACCCCCTCCCCAAGGGAGAACGGATAGCTCGGGGGTCCGGAAATTTACAATTTAAATAAAGCCCCTGATGATCTTTCCATCCATGCAGAGAAAATCACTGTAATACCTCTGAGTCTGGGGAAGAAGATTTTTAAAATATTGGTGAATTTTCCCTTTTGGGCACCGCCCTGGCCCCTAGGGTTGGGGTAGGAATCCCAATTTTACAATTTGGTAGCCTCATCTACCAAGGATGATTTTGACCAAGTTTGAAAAAATTCCATCCTCTGGTTCCTGAGAAGGAGCTGATTATGTAAAAGTTTACGCATGACGCACGACGGACGGAAAGTGATTGGAATAGGTCACTTGAGCAAAGCTCAGGTGACCTAAAAAAAACCAAAAAAAACCCCAATGAGTATGAAACTACAATTTCATATTTGTTTCTTTTCAAAATCTTTTGACAACAATAATTTGTTATGTTGTTAAAAAAAAATGACATTTGAATTATATGAATATTCTGATTTTCCAAACATTGAGCTATTGACAGCAACACATTTCTATTTTAATTAAATAAATTTGACATTTAAATTACGTGACTAAATCTTAATATACTTCTTGCCTTCTTATCACTGAATCTCTGAAATCCATTTATCTTTATTTCCAGCAGAGGTTGGAGGAATTTGACCCATCCGGATCACTGTGGTAACTTTGTAAGGAAACCTATGTGTACACACTGCCTGGTAGGTAGTATACCTGAACCTGAACCCCTGGTGACTGGTTTAAGGTGGCGTCATGGTGTTTCATTTACTGCAACATTATTAATGAGTTCCAATTTCCTGTGGAATCTTTAGAAGCCAATTAACACACCCTATGTTTCAGTTGCAGGTCACTAATGTCATCACTTTAAGTCACGTACACTGATTCTCCAGGGCGTTCCAGTTCACTCCACTAAAGAAGGGATGAGCCTTGATTTCCTCAGCTCCGTTGATTCCAGCTCCAAGACGCTCACGGGGGTTATAACACAGCAGCTGAAATCAGTCAACAAACATCAAATTGGACTACAACTGTACTTTCTCATTTTGAATGAGAGGACAAGCGCAAAAAAGGGATTGATTTTAAGGAAAATATGTCAGATACTAACAGTAATACAAGAGGCCCATAGGGCCTGTATCGCTCACCTTGATATCTAAGCAATCATGGCAGAATATTCTCCAAATGAGATCCAAGGGAATATGCCAGACCCCAAGGCCAATCCTTGTAGCATATATATCTGTATTCAATTTTTCATGCCCAGCAATTTTATGTATGGTTATGGGGTGGGGATCTCAACTGTTTCCAAGCTGTGACGCAGAAACTAGGTCCCTACGGTTGTGGCCAGACCCCAGGATCAATTCTAATATCATGACTGCATTTGTCTCTTTTTG